CTTCTGGACAAACAAAGTTCCAGATTACGATGAGCAGTACCGAAAACCCAGATTCCGACAGCATAAGTGGGGCAAATTACAACAACGAATGACTGTATCCCCGAAACAGCAAAGGGACAACCCGTACAGATAAAACTTTATGATCTGGTGGATAATGTTCCTCCAAAAATCAAAACCACAACCATTTGCAAGTCGATTTGGTCTTCACAAGTAACTCAACAATCTCTCGTTTATGATATTATACAACTGAATGTGCTGCACACAGGTCGCCTCATGATCATAAAAAATAGATCCAGTTGAGTCCCTCGTGAAAACCAAATTGATTTGCAAATGAGTGTATTCCTCGAAAGCAATCCAATTTGGATTCAAGTAGAGCATAAGGTTGACGGAAACTCGGGGACTTGGGCCAACCTGATGGGCTGTCGAAAGAATTTTCGCAACCTTGTGAGTAGATTCCTTTATAAAAACAACAGCCATTTCGCCTTCGGAATCTTGTTCATCTTCCAAAGACTGGTTTTTCGGACACAACTTTCGCAGACGCACCTGCCAGCCTCCACAAAACACACATAGGCAAGACCTGAAACCAGGCAGACAGACTGACTTGAAGTTCAGGAAATGGTTTGAGCTAGGAACACGAAAACTGTCAACTGCACCAGTTGGCACGTTCTGTTTTGCGGGACAGGACCGAAAATATTACAGAACTAGGTCGAGTAGGTAGCTCGCTAACAGGAAGGACAACCAAACGGAACGGTGCACCTGCATTTCGCATTTTCTTTCCCCTTAAATGCATTTAATTTTGTCTGACACGTGTTCCGAAAATCACGCAAAAAACCTATTGAATATTAGGACAAATACTTTCAGTTGCACACGAATTTGATTTGACGGAAGACTCGATTGAATCCACCTAAATTTCTCGTTTATAGTGATCCGCTTGTGAATAGTCATCATGTAAGCGTCTAAGGAAGAATTGACCAAGCACAAGAGCTTAATTTAGGAGCTGTGTCTTAAACCGGATCAACCACTCGCTGGACTTCACCAAAGCTCTCCAACTCCACCAAGTCCTGTGGATGTTTGGCATAATGCACTACTCATAAGGTTGCTGAAAATTCTTCGAAAGCCCACAACCGGTTTCTTACTCCTTGAGGCTCATCAGGTAAGCCAGTTTCCGAGTTTCCGTCAACATTATAAACAAGAGATTCGGCTGTGTTCCATGTGAGTCTCCCGCAAGACCAAAATGGTTTTCAAATGAGTGTACTTCTTTAGTTTCGTTCTCTGAATCTCCTTTGGAAAACTTGAGTATTCGGACCAATTGATCCACCTCGTCAAGGCAGTTGATGCAGAAATGAATCGAGAATCGCGCCATGGTATTCAGTGAGCTCCAAGCCGGATCATACCAGTCCGATGGATGAAGTCATGATCAGTGGGTTTCTAGCAACTGCAACTTCAAGTTTCATTCCAATCGCCAGCATCTGTTCTTGCCAACGACTCAAGAAATGGGATAAATCCAGACGTTGCAACGAAAACGCCCGCAGAAGGTGTTTGTTCGCCCAGGGGAATTCGACCAACAGCAGAAGGGTTCTGTGTCTCTACGACTGGCTGAGTTTTCACCCACAACTGGTAGACCGGACAATAAACGTCTCCAGTGACCATGACAACCGCTCTGTTCGAATACTGAGGTCACCATGTCTCTTACTGACCCATAAGCCGGATGTCATTGGTCACCTTTGAGAGCGTTGACAAGCTTAATTATCCGCCAGCTGTCATCCAGTTAGCAACCCCGGTGGTTTTGAACATAAATCAGACTCCCTTGGACATTAAATACGGCAGGAACTGACCTTAGGAAGATTCTGACGAGACATAATTCACTTACAAGTTTTGTGTACATGTGCATATGACGGTGAAAGGAACAACCTGATTTTGGTGGTGTTGATAATGTGTGTGTTATCAAAACAGCCAAAATGAGCTTTGGACGTCGTGTCTCGTAGATGTGTGATTACTGCTCATGAGAACAACTAAGGTGTTGCTTATTATCGCGGTTTCAATCGCCGGTATAATCACTAGTAGGAGGGTAGAAACCCTGTAGGGGGGTTCTTCTGTGCCTCGAGATGTAGCGGCACAGAAAAACATACTACTGATTGCATAACAGACGAGTGTATTAATGCGACTTGTCTCGTTTAGCTGTCAGGGGCTTTGCAAGCCGAATATCTATCACCTAGACATGACTTACTTATTATACTGTTTTATACAAAGTCGACTCTATATCAACTGTTTTCATGACACCATTTATTCACATTCATTTCTCGGTTTGTTCTTGAACATTTTGTTCCACTTTGAACTGCATTACATTTTTCCCGCTTCATTTGTCCAATAGCACACTGTCCCTTCTGTGCCATCCTGTATTGTTAACTGCCCAAGGTTCAATCTAGCCGTAAGCCTTCCTTTAATTATGCTCATTATTTGCTGTTAATTTATTAAAGAACCACGGTCTACCTATCCATACTGTTTGCCCACGTCTAATTCAATATTTTGTATGCTGCCCAATTGTGACTACTGAAAAAACGCAGGTGAAGTTCGTAGAATACGGTTTCATCGTAATTATTACTGACCGTCCCTCGTCGAATTGGACTATACGTTACCTGTCAGACAGGACACCTAGATCGTGCGTTTAAACTAATTAAACAATTCCTTGTCTTGAGATCACGGCCTTAGCACACGGTTGCAAACCAAGTGATTCTTAGTGCAAGATACTGCGAGATCGTCCTAGAAAAATTGGACATCTATAGAGGAAAATGTTGGTAGCTCAGGTAGCGTAGATGGTCGTTGGCTTGTTCGTTGAGCTGAGCAATTTGATTGCATGTACCGGAAAAAGGCATACGCGGTTCAAATAGTGAACTACAGCAGCAATCGCCCAGTAAACCTCAAGAAGAACTGCGTCCAAACCCTGCTCAAGAGAGTGGAGACACAATGCGACAGCACAGAAATATGCAAGAAGGAAGAAAACCTTCTATTCAGAGTATTCAAGAACGATGGATACACAAGGAATTTTATCAAGAGAAGCTTTGAGGGCGAAGGCATCCCAACAACAGCAACAGCAAAAACAAGCCAGCAGCCGGGTAGTCCTGTCCTACATCAAGAATATATCGGAAGTTGCACCAGAGTATTAGCCCAAAACGGAATCCCCGTGGCTCACAGACCGAGTGCCATTCTAAGGAAGCTAATCTCTAGACCGAAGGACAACCGAGATAAAACCAACAGGATGCACCAAATCAACTGCAACAAATTTTGCGTTGGACAAGCTCGGAGGAAATTATGCACACGAATAAAGGAACACAACGCGACCGTCAGGAGAGATGCTCCCCTATCCTTGATATTCATACACGAACACCAAGAAGGTCACAACTTCATTCTGGAAGACGCAGAATTTTGATGCACGGAGACACAAGACACAGAAGGGAATTTCCGGAAGCATGGTACTCCAGTGCGGATTCGATAAACCGATGCATTGAACTGGATCCAATTTAGACACCATTACTTGCGAAGGACCAACATTTCAACCGGATTACCCAAGGACAACCAAATGATGCATTGAGATCCAATTTAGACACCATTACTTGCGAAGGACCAACATTTCAACCGGATTACCCAAGGACAACCAAATGTTGGATACACAAAATAAGAAATAAGGATCACAAGGTTACAAGCAGGAACTCGGAAGGGCCGAAGACAAAGGTCACTCCAACGTCGATCAGAGTATGAGGGCAGGGGACACCAGGCTCAAAGGCCACGGGAGTATCGGTGAATCAGGATACAGGATAACAGAGCAACCAGTGGAGCCGCCCGACCGAACAACTAATCATTGTCAGCCCCCTCTAGCAGCATGTATATCAACGCATACGCAACACTACTCAACACACAAACGCTAACCCATTGCTACGCTCCACTACGCTCCCTAACAACGCACTGATGATATCACCCCGTCTGGCTGATGAAACGCTTGCAATCAAATCGTCCAGCTCAGCGAACAAGCAGACACCCAAATTGGACATGATTCGTATTGAAAAACTTGGGATGGGTGGTTACTGAAAGCCCAACATTTTCCCGACTGTTGGTAAACTTTGTTTATCATACTATCTGGCGTCAACTGAGTTCATTACCTAATAACTTTCCTAAAATAACAACTTTGTCAACTTTCTTAAGGTACATCCCCGTCGATATATCAATTCAAGAAAGGTAAACCGATACCTTTATGTGACAGCCACTTCTAGTCCCGACATCGTTTGCAAGTTGGATAGTTCTAGAGAAAAGATGTTNAGTTGGATAGTCTAGAGAAAATGAGATGTTTCGTAAATCTTTCCGTATAGAATTGTCTTGATAAGACTTTTGTACAACAACAAAGACAGTCAGTTAAATTGGACGACCTGGATGAAAGTTGCGCACGTGTGGGATAGAAAAATAGACATGTGTTGCCTCTTCTGTAGGTATTCAGAATTATTTTGGGTATTTGTACAGGTGTCTAAATACTTAGTCCTTTGTCGGTACAATGGATGAGAACTTGCGGAATTTGGCATCGGCGTTCTGGGAGTTTTGCACAAGAGATCCAAAAAATGAACGCCAGTCTGAGCTAAGTAATCCAAGCCGCTGTCGCGGTAAAAGCGCACGTGGACAGGCCCAGGATTTTTGCGTCAAGCCAGATGCATACCGCAGTGTGTGTACGACTGCGTGCGCGCATGCGTACGTGCGTTAGTGGGCGCGCAACCGGTTCACCAATAATGGACGGATGGTATGGTGCGTCCGCACTAACGTCAAAGCATTTGACCTGCAGCTGGTGGATAACATGCCGTGCCTTGACCAGACCTGGGCGTTGGCCGCGTGCCTACTCATCACACCAGCATGTGTGCATGCTACCATCCGATTGGGCAACTGAACGTGCCTATGGCCAGCCATCAGAACAACAAAAACGCCGCTACCCATCACCGACCGCCATTCATGCTCGCCCAAAATATCCATCTCCTGCGACTGTGCTGCTAGACAATGTGCTACCGCTGTGAAACGGATTAAACGGTTTCCGTTCGTGTCATCATGCTGCGCTCCAAAACAAACTGGATTTTTCTGTTTGACTACTATGTTGTCCTTTTGGTAGCGGCATCAGCCCCACGGACTGAGAAATATAGTCAAGTTCCTGAAGATGACCTCTTATTTCCCCCAAACGCAGTACAACGTTATGCACACACTAAGCCAGGCAGTTATTTTGGGTATTCCGTAGCCAGTTACGTGGGTCAGTCGCAGTCATTTTGTCTTGTCGGCGCTCCGCGAGCAAGTCAGGACCGTCCAGGTGACCTACTTGCTGATTTCGGGTCGTCTTCAAGTGATCCCTCTTCTGCCACTGGATTAGTTTATCGCATTGATTTGGATTTCAAACTGCCCTATTGTTCTGTTGTGCCCATCGCCACCACAGATGAAGCCCGTCGAGAGCACGGGACTCCAACACCCGGAAGTAAGTGCGAATATTGGTGTATAGTTCATAAATATTGTCTCAGAAAAAAAACAGTCCCGAATTATCTCAACACGACTAGGTTCAAGCACTTTGTGTTATCACTAGTTATCAACTACACGTAGACCGTGTCAAGTTTAACCTTTTACAAAGTATAACCATATCTAAAGTAACCGTAATTTCACCTATGATGTACACAAGTGGACAGGGTGTGTTCAGCGGGGCAAGTAGTTGATGAGGAGGCATGTTGACTACCGTCGACCGATTACTTATCATTGTTCGGTCTAACGATGTTTCTTTGGCATGAACAAAGATAACTGTGTGACTTTGTGTGGTATCCCTAACTGGGCTAGCAACACTACTGATTCGGGCCCAGTGAGTAGCTGTACCTGATATGTGTCTGTTGAGGATTTCAACTCTAAATGGTTGCGCTGCCATCTACTTACCACTTGATGGATATATAACCAGTGGCGCTACGTCCTGTCTAAGTAAGACCTGATCACACTGTTGTTCAACGACTGGTGGCTAAACGGTTAAGTGTTCAACCACTGGCTGGATGGTCGCAGGTTGAAGACTCTCTGTTTCGTTAGATGCGCACTGCTGATGATTCCTCACAAGGGTGAAACAGCGTAGCAGGAATCCTAGGCTTTTCAACACACGCCAGCTCCACTGACAGGACGAAAGTCTAAGTTTGATGAATCACTTCGGCAGCAGTGTGAAAATACGCCTGCAGTATCTGAACAATGGGCCATCCATATGCCAACCTTTCTGGATAATACACATTTAATTTCTTATCAGCTGTTTCTTAATTACCTCGTTCATAGTGAGAATGATATGCCGTTCGACCCATTTCATCGTTTGGTTGGTTTATCTTCATGAATCCTACTTTTCGCAAAGAATTCAGCGACCGATAGCTTCGAGACCTAGGACCTGTATTGAGTGAAAAAAATCGTTAAGCTGTAGCATCCTCTCGGTGTCTAACTGCCATGCCACCAGAAGGAAGCACGAGGACTGGGACACTGCCAGGTTGCCCAAGCCTAGACAGGGGAAGTCGAACTACGGACCTTCCGGTCAGTAAATTCACGCTCCAACCACTGTGTGAACATTCAGGTGAATACTGAACGTCGCAACATTTTTTCATCTCACCTGGGCAACCTATTCCTAATGCCAGACTTTTGTTTCCTGTCATACCTACACAAAGACCCGGGAACAATGGTTGACATCTTAATGATAGTTTCCTCGTCCTTTCTCATACTAGGACGGCAAGAGAGCCTCTACTGAAGCAACTAAGTCATCCACTTGACCACACTTGGGTATTTGCCATCCGTGAGCGTTAAGTCATAGGTTAGATAGTAAAGAAATAGCACCTATTGCGCGGTGTGCATAGCGCTTTTTGCCAATTGTGGATCTCTGGCGGACCAGTACCTGTAAAATACGCCGATTGAATCCGGTTACAAATTAGTCAAGCGCTACCATATGACTTACAATAAGGCCACTTTCGGAGTGTCTGTCCTTTCTGCAACGCACCAGTTTGTTTGATGGACTTGCAACGTCCAACGACTACTAGGAGAACCAGCCCCGAACGTAACGGACTACATAACTACATAACTCGCCCTTGACGGATGAGTTGTATTCTTAGTATCACTCTTGACCGCTTGTACGCGACAGTGATCAACAGAGTAGCTGGCTCGCACGTTCACTTGACTTTTCTGGTTTGGCCGAGCGCACCAGGCAATCAAGCGGCTATCCAGACCGGGGTTCGCGGTACTAAGAAGACATCAAGGAGGCTGTGGTCCACAACACAGAATGACTGGATAAAGTGATCCAAAGACCCCCCGAACACACGCACAGATGTTACGGGTCACTTTCAATACGGGGATCGTGAGTTGATCTGCAATCAAAGGAGGTTGCCACAGTAGCTGCAATTTAAACGATGTTCCCTTGCCGAGTGGAGCGAACATGCGTCAATAACTTTGGTTAATATGCCGGTCAAGTGACTTGTCAGTAATGTGGGGAGATTTTGGAATTTTTAATGGAATTTTTGTACTTTCAGTGAGGTCAATCAACGTTGAAAAAACTTAAACGTTGAAATCGACAATGTGCATCTTACGTAGGGGAGTCCCGAACCCGCAACCTACCGGCTAGTAGTTTAAACACTTAACCGTTTGACTACCGGTGGTTGATCAGCAATGTGATTTACTCTTAGTTAGATCACTTGATCGAAAGATGAGTGACGCTATATCCTGTCTAAGTGCGAGTTGATCACGCTGTCGATCAGACGCTCAAGTGTTCAAACTACTAACCGGGATGTGGTCTGTCAAGTTCAAAACTCTCTGGAGTTTCGGGATGAAACAGCTGTACAGTGCTGCTTGGTTTTTCAGCATAAATGGCCTTTACTTGGGAGACGAAATCTCCATTGGTCTTCAAACTAATTTCCATAACTGGATGGTCTACAGTTCTGACACAACTTGGTCAGTAAACACAGCCAAACAGCACCAAAGCGACAATTACTCCAGCTTTGCGCTCACCGGCCTTCCCCCTCATTCCCTCTCCTATTTACCTGACGGAATGAGACATTCCCATACATGTGGAAAAATAATGTGGTTGTGAAATGCTTCGAATCTGACACCTATGACGTGAGAGAAGATAATTCAGATGGGATTGTGCCATCTTGCATGCACTAATCACGCGTGTAATAGCTGGTATATGAGAAAAAGCGTAGTGGCTTGAGTTTGGGAAACTGGGGCTTGGTTCCGGGTTCGATTGCAAAACCAGTGTGACGTAATCGAGGCAGATGCGATGGGCTGCATATCCTGCAAACTACAAACGGTAAGCGGATGAGTACCGGTCAAACTGTTTCTGGTTATCAATGGAGTAGGGTTCTGACGGATAACAATAAGTTCCGGATTATGGACTATGTTCTTTTGTCCGGATCACTGACCTCTATTCGAATCTTTCCACAAAATCTGCACACCAGCTATCGAGGTAAAATTAGGCCCAGCTAGATGTGGAGATCGTCTTCGAAGAGTTGTTTGATTGGCCTCAGAAAGCAGTATAGATTTTTCCTTTTTTTTGCTTCATATCATGCCACCTTTGTGACCCGGTTATGTTTCGTCTGTTGACACCAAACGGATCGGGGATGGGACTCTGCTCAAAGCTACCCAATCGCTTTCCAAAGTGAGTGCTCGTTAACTGAGTTGTAATTCAGAAGTCAACTTGTCGACAAGGCATATCCACCTGACCTTGGAAAACAACGTACGAGACACGTGGCTTCCGTACTGTGTGAAAGCAACTTATAAGAAGGCAAATCCCGAACGAGAGATTGAGTCTCCTGTCAAAGCCAGATTGTTACGCAGGAGAGTGAATAAGCTCGGTTTATTTTTGTGTCTGTTCGCACAGAGGTGAAATTATTCAAGAGCGGAATAATATTAGCCCCTTGAATTCAGGCTGAGAATAGGATGAACTGAGCTTTTAAAATCGTTTCTTGAATGCCGATCAGGGCCACTGAATATATCATTCAGATCTATTCTGCTTTGTGAGCAATGGCTACTGCATTCCGTGGCAGCCGATATCAGTAAGGTCCCCCTTCTCACGTTGATGGCTCAGATAACCGATCATAAACTTCATCCCCATCATCACTTGAATGATTCTAAAAACAGCCTTTTCCTGGTTTGAAAAGATCACAAAATCTACTGTGGAGATTGCTTCGGAAACGATTCAACTTTCGTTCGAAATATTCAACTCATCCAAGTCTTTAGCAGTCCGCCTGCGGTGGTTATGATTTCTGACTGAATATTACGACCGTTTCTGACCGATTACAATGTTCCATGGGCCACAACTCTGTTTATTTGCCCCCAAGTGATTCTTCGGATGAACTAAGAACACAAGCAACAATGGATTGACTAGAAGATGGCTTTTAGTAAAGGTACATCGAAAGTGTTCGAAATTTGTTGCAGGATTCCGTCCCCAGAGACAGCAGTCACCAAAAGCGCACCCGAATTACCTATATTCCGCAACATCGCCAGCACTGTCTGCAACCGTTTAGAACTTGGTGAGAACGGCTTGCAAACGTTGCTCACACACTGAAGTGAACATGTACGATGATCTCCCAATAAATGTTACTGGTACAACCACAGTGGGTAGGTTCTATCCGATCGATTTTTACTCAGGACATGTCTTCGTCAATGCCCCTGGTGGCCACTTCAGTAGGTTAGGGGGCTACCATTTTGTTGACCGAGTTGCAGATGTCACCTCATGGACATGTTTCCCGAGGGGGCAAACTCTAGCTGCTATGTCGAATAGCCTATCCATGGACAAGACTACTAGATATTGAAAAGGCATTCAGACCCCATGCTTTCTACTGCTCAGCTGACTGACCGGCTGAATCCAAAATCTTAATGTAATGCTGTCTTTACGGGAAGGCATGCATGGCGCTGACCGCTTCGCCCACCATAGGCACCGAATTTCGTACGTGGAAATAAGGTCGCTAGGATTTAATCACTAGTTGAAACAGTTTGCATAACAATGGACGCTAGCTTCGCTGCTAGGCCGACGTGGATGAGTAAAAATCAAAGATTTTTGGCCTATCTAGTTGGCTGTTAAACATAACGAGTGATTTTAGGGAAATTTCTAGAAGAACCGCTGAGTAGAGTTTTCAGTATCCGAATGACTTGAAGAACACTTCACCTAGTTGTAGAAACTCAAAGAAACAATCTTTGAATGATATGAAGTCATCCTGGCTCAATACTAGCGTAGAACGAGCCCAAAAGCTCAAAGTATTTGAGAGCCCGAAGCGGGAATCAACAGACATTTCGTGAGGAACTACATAGGTGACAAAACCAGTTCGGACACTGGGAAGCAGCGGACAGCCAAGGTTAGTTCACAAGGTCAAAGGTCAAGTTAGCGGGCAGCGGTGAGGTTGGGCACATGAACTGTACAGCATCCGTTTCTGGGCAATGTAAATTCTGCGGCTGATACAAACACGGATCTGACCTAAAATGGGT